CAATCGAAATATGGCCAGATCGATCAATCCATGGCGACGCCTTTATGGAATAAGCCAAATTTAAGATTTTTTTGGGATATTTTGGGAAAAAGACAAAAGTGGTAGGTGGAGATAAGATCAAGGTAGTTCGATTGATCTGAAAGAAAGTTGGATCGATCGAAGATGGAAATTCTTGAGGATAAGGACTAGGGGTTTGATCTATCTTGGCAGGGCTGGATCGATCACTGTGAGATTGATCGAAAATATGTCTGATCGATCAAAACTCGCTGATTTCCACCACTTTGCTCCATTCTTCCATTTAGCTTGAGATTGCTTCTTTGATGCTCTAATTTGGCTAAATTGACTTATTTTGGGGATAAGCACCTGAAAAAGGGTAATAATATGAAATTAATTTAAAATGGGAAAATAAGATAGATAAAGATCCTAGAATACTCGAGTTTAAGGGGTTTAAATACACACTTTTCAGCACTCATCACATACATAGACATATGAATAGAACCAAATGATTAATTGAAAGCATTAATCCATACAAATCAAGTAGAAATCACAAGATCTATATTTATTCATAGTCAAAACATCTATTACAACTAAATTCCCCAAAAATACACAAAAAGCTAGGTTTGAGAAGCAAGCCTAGGGGCTATCTCTAGCCCCAAGAGAATGATTTAGCCACTCATTGTAGTGGTCATGGAACCCTTAAGGGTTAGCTTGGAGGTTGGTATCATCATCTTCATCCTTACTTTCTTCCCAAAACCCTAGTTCTAGAGAGAGGAAAATATTTTTTTTCTATAATTGGTAATTTCTATCTATCTTGATGTGATACAATATTATTTAATAAATCAATTACATACTCCTTTAAGCAAAGACCAAGTCAGAATTACAGCCTATGATTGGAGGAAATTCGCAACTACACAAGTTAGGTAGAAATCGGCGCGCTCGGTAATTAGAGAACTCACTGCTAGCAGGCATTTCGATCGATCGAAAATTCTCGATCGATCCAACACTTAGCTTCAATCGATCGAAGTTGACGTGGCTCGAACATATCTTCTTTGGCCTTATCCAATTGGCTGAGCTGGTACCGCCTCATCTCGATCGATTGTAGACCTCTTCGATCGATCAGGAGTTCCCTTCGATCGTTGGAAAAAACCCAAGGAAATACACCAGAGCAGCTTCGATCGAGACTTCCCTTCGATCGTTGGAAAGAACCCAAGGAAATACACCAGAGCAGCTTCGATCGATCAAAGCTGGTCTGGTGTATTTCCTTGGGTTCTTTCCAACTTTGCTCCTTAGCTCCAAAATTTAGCTAAATGGCTCTTATTAGCCTGTTTGAACTTTATTAACCTGAAATAAGCAAAAACACAAATAAGTATCTAAGACATAAAAGTAAGATAGATGAATGGACTAAAATACCTTAGCTTAGGTGCTAAAATGCATTACATTTGAGCACTTATCAGCCACCACCTTCTACCACTGACACTGCCATCGCCACCAACTTCCACCACCGCCACCTTCATTACCTTTCACCACCACTATCGTCACCTCCACAACTCTCACCGCTTTCCACCGCCACCACCACCACTACCACACTGCCACCTCCACTGCCTTCCACTACCACCACCACGCCCACCACTACCGCCACCGCCATCGCCAATGCCACTGCCTTCCACCACCGCCATTGCCACTACTTTCTACCACCACCACCATCGTTACCTCCACTGCCTTCCACCACCACTGTCGCCTTCCACTACCACCACACGACTACCTTCCACCATCATCACCTACAGTTCCACCACTGTCACTGCCAACGCCTTCTACCAACACCACTGCCACCTTCTGTTGTCGCTGCTACTGCCTTCCAATACCACTACTGCTTTCCACCTCCACCACCATCGTCACTGCCATCTACCACCACCGTCATTTCTTTTAAAAGAATTGTAGAAAATTCTTATTTTGTTAATTTAATTTATTTGTCACTTAGATGGGTAATGTGAAAATTTTAATTTAAAATTCATTCCATTCTAAATTTTAAATTGATCCAACCAAACATTAGAATGATTATTATCATTCCATTCCTACACATTTCATATTTTCAACCAAACAATAGAATGAGAATGACAATTTCATTTCATTCCCATTCTCATTCCATTCCATTTCAGTACACCAAATGCATCATAAGTTTCCCTCTCTATCTCTAATTTATTTTTCTCTACTAATATTTTTCATTATATATATATATATATATACACATATATTCTTCTCACTCTCTCAAATTCTTTATATCTTTGTTGGGTATCTCTTCAAAATTTAGTCGTAATTAGAAAATACCAATCAAAATATAATTATAAAAAACTGTAAGTGAATTATGTAATAAAATTGTTATTAAAACACACAAAGCAACCAAATAAGCAGCCACCTAATTTGATATAAAATCACAAATCTAAATTTGTGAAGTATAGCATTTTCCATAGGCAAAAATGTGAAACCCCCCTTGAGGTTTCACCAAGTGAGCAAAATACCCCATGTGCTATAAAAGTGAGTAAGTCAATATCTGTAGTTTAAAAAATGAGCAACTTGTCCCCTAAATTTGACCATGGATTGCTTTCTGGCCAATGTCATTGCACAATTACCAAATACCCCGTAGAATTAACTTTATTAAAAAGTAAAAAATCTTAAAAAGGTGAAATACCATAAATGTCCTTATTAGTTGAATTGATATTTTTCACGTTGAGTTTCCCGATAGAGGAAATACACACTCTCTCTGTGTATATATATATGTATATTTGTATATATTATATATGAATATTGTAAATGGTATTATAATATATAGGGTTAAGTGTAAAAAACACCCCTATAGTATGCTTACAGTGCATATCACACCCTTCATGTGCAGAAAATATCCCTAAAGTTTTAATTTGGTGCAAATAGGTCCCTCCTAACACATTTAAGTTATTGTTTGACTAAATTGCCCTTATATATACATTTTACATATTATTTAAAAATGCATCATTTTATGAAATGATGAAAATGGTCATTTAGTACATGAGGGGTGTGATATGCATTGTAAACATATTATATAGGTGTTTTTTGCACTTTATAAACTATTATTATTTTGAATCTTTTGATCTTAATGGTTAAATTTAATTGAGAATGTAGTTTTATTGCGATTTGAATAGTACGATGACGGTAAGTGATTGACAACCCATTTATTTATTTTTTCCCAATAAAGATTAAATACCCAATTGTTGCTATGTAAAGAATTTTATATATATATATATATATATATATATATATATATATATATTTGTGAAAATTTATAAGTTTAAAAATTAAATGTAAATTGTTTATATATAATGAGTATCTTTAATTTAATTTTTTAATCATATATTTAATGAAAAGCTAATAACTATGTTAAAATTTAATTGGAAATGATCTTTTTTCTTTTTTAAAATTATAAAAGGAATTGAACTGTACATTAATCTGACAATTGTGACAACACTGTTAGCAGAAATATACAGAGATAAATTTTTTTTCGAAAAGGAGAGAGAAAATCCTTAAAAGTGGGTTAAATATAGTTAACGTGACCTCTATACTATGAGATTATAGGCATACACACCCAGTTGGGTATTTTTGAAAGAGTAAAAGGGCAAAACGGATATTACAACATTACTTTATGTTAGATTTCTGATTGATGGGTATTTTCGCACAATTTAAATGAATATGGATATTTTTAGCACACTTTTTTAAATAGGGGTGAAAGTGCTATACAAAGTATACATTATGAGTGTTTTCTGCCATTGACCCATAATATATACGTGTATATAAATATGTATCTCCTACTCCAATCTCAAATTTTCGGAGTTTTCCCTACTTCAAGTAATGGTGAATTGAAGTGATTCTTGAACCTTACAATAGTAAAAACTGCATAATTGAATCCAAGAATAGTAAATTCATTCAATCATAACAACTAGGTCACTCAATTTCAAGTATAAACCCTACAAAATTAATACTTGTTCTTTGTATGCATGTACGGAAAAAGAAAAGAAAAACAAAAGACCATCACATAGAACAGAACCAAACAAGTTTAGATAACTAAACGAAAATTCGAATTCTACAGCAAAATTGATAAAGAAATAAACTTCACAATTCAATTGGACGCTTAAAAAGCTTGGATGCATTTTTGGCGCAAATGGTTGTAGTTTTAGCTATGTTTTTGGATTTTTTGTTGTTCTAAAATTGGAGAGCGAAAATAGCGTTTAGAAGATTACGGGTGCAAAAATTGGACAATAAATGAATGGTAGAAAGTAATAAATTAATAAACGGGTTGCTCAAATGAATAGAAGAAACCTTAGGTAAAGGGGTAAAATGGTCATATTGAAGAGCAATTTGGCATTGTGCAAAAAGTACAGGCACGTGAGAAAGTCTTTGTCAAGAGGGGGCAAGTTGCCCTCGCTTTACAGTTGTGTTGAGTTAATGAGTTGCGACCAAAGGTATGTTTTATTTTTTTTACCTAAAAAAAAAGGTATGTTTTATTATTGACTTAAATATGACAAAATAAATAAATTTCACATTCAATCCGTTCAATCGAGAATATTAGAAATATCAATTAGACCGTTCTCATCACATTAGTGAGATAAAAAGTGGGTTAAAATTAAAATGAAATAATTTAGATCGATTTTGTTCATATTTTTTATATAATTTTTTGTGACCAGTGTCTAATGCTTAATTTAAATTAAATTATTATCTAATTAAACCATTTAATAACACAATTTAAATAACATTTAAAAACCTTGATACTAAAACTTAAATAACATTTAAAAAAATAAATATTTTTTAAAATAGAATAAAATTTTAAGTGATAATAACTTCAAATGTCAAATGAAAAAGTTAGAAATATATTGTATACATTTATTTTTAATTAACACTTTAAAATTTAATAATTAAAATTTTCAATTTTATGAAACAATCTAGATGTTTAAAATAGTCAAGGATTTTGGCTCCTACAATTCATATAAGTATATCCTTTGCTTTTGTCTCCTTGGCAACAAAAAAAAAAAAAAAAAAAAGGTGATGAATTTTCTTACTTCTCTTTCATATTTCTGTCTCGCTTTCTCTCTCCTCCCCACTTTCGCAGCGCCCACCCTGTTATTTCAGGTATGGCATTCACACCACATGTACAGTACTACATATCATCATCATCATCATTGTTATATATGTTGCTTGTGTGTGTATATATATGTGTGTGTTTATGCGTGTGAATATAATTATTCTTTTGATGTGGATGATATGATCAGGGGTTTAATTGGGAATCAAGCAATAAGGAAGGAGGATGGTACAACTGGCTCATCAACTCCGTCCCAGAACTAGCTACTGCTGGAATTACTCATGTTTGGCTTCCCCCACCCTCTCAATCAGCTGCAGCCCAAGGTTTTTGACGATTTCAATTTGTAGTTTCATATTGTTTTTCGACTTAATTTCACTAATACCCTTTCAGATTTGATCAAATATTATCTTCATACATCTTTTTGAAAATAATTATCACACATATCACAAATTTTTTAATGCGTTGTTCAGTAACATCCCAACGGTTAGTTGAACAATTCGAACAAGCTGTAAAATGACTTAATCACTGTTTAAATTTGTCAAACCAGATTAAAGAATTAAATTAAAAGACTAAAATATTCTTAAAAAGTTGTAAATTTACAAATTATATATATATACACACACATTACACACAGAGACATATATATATATATATATATACACACACATACACAGACATCCGCCGCCGCCGCCCCCACATAGACATCCGCCATCGCCGTCGTCGCCGCCGCCCACACAATCCCAGCCTATGACCAATCGTCGCCGCCACCATCTACACAATCCCAATCCCAATCCCAACCCAACACCCATCAGAGGATTGGTTCCTCAACTTGTCACCGGAATCTACAACTCTCCACCGCCAAAGCCCTCTGTTTTCTCTCGGTCTCCTCAAATTGGGTCTCTGCAATCCAAAAGATGATGACGTTATGATGGTTTACAATCTTGTCTCTGAATATATGTGATGCAAAGATTGCTTGTGATTACCCGACCCTGTACCGTGGGACCAGTTGACCCTAGCTGACTATCAAGAAGAAGGACCTTGAGCGCCGACTGGTTTTTCAACAGCTTCGTTCTCTCCAAAACCCCTTCTCAGCGGCCAATCCCGATGCCTCCCAAAAGTTTTTTTCGCCTCCGTCTCTTTCTATTCTTGTTGAAACCCGAGTCGGCCTCCTCAATCAGAGGATTGGTTTCTCAATGCCCTCAACGACGTGAATATAGGGCTTTCAAATTCGGTGTCGGTGAACTGCTTACTGGCCTAGACAACGATGTTGCGATCACCAGGAATGTGAATTCAAAAGACGTGGACGGTGATGGTTGGTGACTGGTTTTGTTCACCGGAAGTTGTTGAGGTGTAGCAACCCAGTTCGGTTCGGCGACAACTCGGAGCGTCAACGAACCGACCGTCGTGCTTCATCGTCAAACCAACAACAAGCTCTCTTACCGGCGACAAGCACGAGCTCAGGTCTGATCGAAATGTAAGGATGAATGGAGGCCACCAACATCTTCAATTGCTCATCTTTGATACAGCAGAAACACACATCTTCAATTGCTAATCTCCGTTGCAATGTCTGGGTTGGTAGGTGGGTGTCGGGTATAATGGTCATTTAGGTAATATGATATTTTTGAATAAAAAAGATTAAAAAAATTAGTGATAAATTTGTCTTTTTCAATGTATTTAACGTAAAGGAAAATTAGAAATGAACGTAAATGATAGTAATTTTTGAAAAATGTTTGAGGGTGATATTTGGTTAAATGTGAGTGAAATTAACCCTTATTCTTAATTGCTTTGTTGATTATGTCCTATTTACCATATGTCATGTCTAGTCTGGTCTGTTGTGGATCAATAAGTCATTCAATCAATAATGTAACTATAATGGAGTGAATTATAACTTATCATCATCACACGTTCTTCTTCCTTGAAATGGGAAATGCACATTGAATTATTTATTTTCTTTTCTTGATTTTGAAATTTGTATGAAATTGATAAACATGAGCTGAAATGCCTCTAAATTATCAAAATGAAGATTTTTTCAAAAAAAAAAATTGTATAATTGTTTTGATCTTCGAGAATTTCATATTTCATTGCCGGAATTACTTCTTTTAATTTGACTACACAGTGATTGTTGTGTTTCTCATCTCCATCAGAATTGAGCCACCACTCCCACCTTTTTCATCACTTTGCTATTTGTCCTGTATTTTCTATCTTTGGTGCAATTGTGGATCATTGATCGCTTCATTTATGAAAATGAATTTTCAAAAATCGGGGTTGAGTTCAGTATAACTTTCTTGTAGTCCATTGATTGGGTCGTCATGTACAATTTTCATTAAAAGATTATTTGAGAAATTCCCATATTGTTGCATTTAAAAAAATAAAAAAAAAAACCATGACTGGCTCTTTCTCCCATAACAGGCATATGCAAACTTTTCCTGAGCTTCCAAATTCACATTGTTGAGTTTTCCTCTCTGATTCTTGAAGTTCATGCAGATATTGGAGTTATCGTTTCTCTCTCCCTCTTACGCCACCATTATTTTCCGAAATTATTGCACAAATTTTACATCATTCTTGAGCGAAATAATACACAAATTCCAGTTTGTTTACGGTTTTGCTTCATTCATCAGTCAGGCCGCTCCAGATAATTGGAGAATTGGAGCATAAATCTCGGAGACTATTGAAGATTTTCCTCCACTGATTATGGAGGAATCAGTGGAGGAAATCCTTCAATAGAGACAACTACACTCGCCTTCCTCATCTTTAGTCAAATATGTGGGATCCATTCTTAGAGGTGCAAGTCATGCCCTGGGGATTTTGGTAGGTCCTGAAGTTCCAAAATTCATTCAGTAAATATATTAGGCCAACAGGTCCAAGACTGGGAATGAATTTTGATTTATTTTTTCTCTTACTGCAAAATTGTGACGCAAGTTGAATCAATGAGTATTAGGGTGTAGTGATAAAAAAAGAAAAAAAAAAAAATGCATGATTAAGCTGAAACAAATATAATGAATATCAAATTGTTTTCCCCCTTTTTCCAGGATATTTGCCGGGAAGGTTGTATGATCTTGATGCATCCAAATATGGAACTGAGGCTGAATTGAAAACATTGATCAAGGCTTTTCACGACAAGGGGATTAAATGCCTTGCTGACATAGTAATAAACCACAGGACTGCTGAGAAGCAAGATGGGAGAGGAATATGGTCCATCTTTGAGGGAGGAACTGCTGATGACCGTCTTGACTGGGGCCCTTCGTTCATTTGCAGCACTGATACTGATTATTCTGATGGCACAGGGAATCCTGATACCGGAAAGGACTTTGAACACACCCCTGACATTGACCATCTTAACCCAAGGGTACAAAAAGAGTTATCAGATTGGATGAATTGGCTCAAGACTGAAATTGGATTTATTGGTTGGCGATTCGATTTTGTCTTGGGATATTCACCAAGTATCACCAAAACCTATATGGAGAACACTTCACCAGACTTTGCAGTTGGGGAGCTATGGGACTCATTCTCCCTGCAGGAACCGGATCTGAATCGTAATCAACTGGTTCAATGGGTCCAAGGCGCAGGTGGGGCTGTCACAGCATTTGATTTCACAACCAAAGGGATTCTTCAAGCTGCTGTAGAAGGTGAGTTGTGGAGACTGAAGGACTCAAATGGAAATCCTCCTGGAATGATAGGAGTTTTGCCACAAAATGCTGTGACATTCATCGACAATCATGACACCGGATCCACGCAGAAGAAATGGGAATTCCCATCCGACAAAGTCATGTTAGGATATACTTATATCCTAACCCATCCAGGGATCCCATCGGTGGTAAATTTCAACCTCCTTATTCTCACTTTATCCATTCACACGAATCACACAATATTCATTTTGAATGAAGTGGTCAGAACCATATTTCGACTTTGTTAAAGTAAGGGTTCCTTTTCTGTTTTTGCAGTTTTATGATCACTTCTTTGACTGGGGGCTCAAGGATCCAATTGTTATGTTGACTACAATCAGAACAAGGAATGGTATCAGTGCAACTAGCAAAGTGAAGATATTGGCTTCTGATACTGATCTCTACGTAGCCATGATCGACGACAAAATCATTGCCAAAATTGGGCCGCAGCTTAATCTTCGAAATCTTATTCCACCAAATTTTGAGGTTGCTACATCGGGGAAAGACTATGCTGTGTGGGAGAAAAAATGAAAATAGGAAAAGAAAATGAACTCAATAAATGGCTTATATAGTCGTTGTGGACTCTTGTGAAATTCTACATCTCATTAAAATCATCCTGTCATTGGATAGGTAATGATTCTTGTTACTAAATATTTATAATTATAACATCTCTGGTGAACTTAGAATTAATCAAGTACCACCGGTTTGCAATGATAACATGAAATTTCTTTATGTTATGTTTGACCTAAATTCGGTACTCCCAAATGCTACATTAGTCTCGTTCAAAATGTTAGATTGTAGCTTGGAATGCTATATGATGCGAAGTAAAATAAAATAAAACTGCAAGAACAAGTTTATGGCAAATTTATCAAAGGGCCTTTGGTCTAGCGGTATAACCTCCCTATCTTCAAAGCTCGGGTGTGTGTGGGCAATAAGAGTGTGTGTGTTTGGTTTGCCATTCAAAAAAAAAAAATTTATTTTGTCATATTTTATGTACTAAAATAATGCTTCCACTTGGGAAAAGACATTTCATGTAAAATCTTCAGGTACATAGTATTACTGTATTATATAGTATGATATGAAATCTTTTCTCCATTAACAAACACAACTTCCCAATCATAATGAGGACATAATTATATCAAATTTTCAACGAACGAGTCCACACCAGTTCACTCCCAGATACCCAAACTCTTCTTTAGGATCGAACTTGTAGGAACCTCATAAAATCAACAAGTTCTCAATCTAGCACCAGTTACAAACTTATTTAACTCCTTCCAAACACTCCTCCAATCACTCCATCCTTTCGGTGAGCAAAATTACATCAACTTATCATACGTAAAAATATGTAACATGTACAAGAAAATCTGCCAATCAACAAGAAAATCTGCAGATAATTTATTGAGACTTGGACGCATTCTGGCCAAGAACATGAAAACCCGAGGGAAGAATGATATCTTCTTTTTCTTAGCCACCTAATTAACTTCTGGCGAAGAATCAGTCGCAGAATTACTGAACTCATAGGGATAAAAATCACCTCCAGTTGCATAGTGCAAACATTTGCTCAATTTTTGTAAATGAATAGTACTTACCATAGTGGGTAAAAAATTATATTTGCTTTATAAAGAATTTTTATATATATATATATGTATATACTGTTCAAATATACTCTTCTTTCCTCCTTTATTTCTTCTTCCCTCCCTCCTTCATTTCAGCAACCCATTTGAAATAAATTTGAAATCCCGCCACCTAGCCCTTCTTCTCTCCCAAAATATCAATCAACCCAGTTTAGAATTTTATTTCTTTCGAAATAGATTTTGATTGAAATCCCGCCATCCAGCTACCCTTCTTCTCTCCCAAAATATCAATCAACCAGTTTAGGATTTGATTTTTTTCCAAATAGATTTTGATTTCTTTCCAAATAGAAGCAAGAAGCCGGCTTTATTTCGAAATAGAATAAGCGATTCTATTTCCAAATTGAAGGTCAGATCAGACTTCTCCAAATCGAAGCAAGAGGTACAATTTTTTTGTTTCTGCCATTCTTATGGAAATAAGAGGATTTCTTTGAAAATAAAATCTGAAATTTTATTTTCAAACAGCACTATTTCCTTATTTGCTCCATCACAACAATTTCCCAACTGCAGCACAACATTTTCGTAACATATATCCCAACGTATTTGTAAAGTGGTGCATCACAACATTTTCCTAAAGTACATCTCAATATTTTCGTACAAACATCCCAACTTATTTGTAAAGTGCATTCCAACATTTTCTTAAGGTGAATCTCAACATTTTCCTAAGGTGGTGTACCATTTAAAATGGTACTATTTCCTTCTTCTTCATCGCCTCAGACCGCCGTTCTTCACTTCTTTTTCTTCGCCTCACCGCCGTTCTGGTGTATCCCAACATTTTCCTACGATGAATCCCAACATTTTCCTAAGGTGCATCCCAACTCATCCCAACTTTTCCAACCTAGCTTCAGACCTTCTTTCCTTCTTCTTCATCTTTGTTTATTCAAAATTCAAACCCTAACCCTCAGACCTTCCTTCTTCACTTATTCTTCTTCTTCGCCTCAGACTGCCGTTCTTCACTCCTTCTTCTTCGCCTCACCGCTGTTCTCCACTTCTTCTTTTTCGCCTCAAACTGCCATTGGTACTATTTCCTTCCTTTTAGAGAGAGAAAGGAAGACAGCTGTAGCTTTTAGAGAGAGAAAACGTATTTTAGAAAAAATATTTAAAGTTTATATATATTTGAAATACAATATTTAAAGGGTGGTAAAAAATTAGTTACCCAATTTTTTTAATTGATGTGGCACATTCTCAGCCACTTATTTCAAATGGAGCAAATGGTTGCACTATGCAATTGGAGGTGATCCTGGTCCAAGCTCATAGTACTCCTTTAAAGAAATTGTCACTCCAGTGGTTCAATCATCATAGTTGGTACTTCGAGCTGACTCACTCTCATGCAGCGCGTTGATAGCTGCTAGCACCAACTTCTCTGAAGCCTTTGCAGCCTCTATCTCCTTTTGAGCAGCAAGTAGTCTGCTTTGCATTATACTTGCTCCAGCCTTCAGCAACTCAATCCTAAACTCTCTTCACTGTTGTGGTTTTGTGGAGTCTGATTAGGTAATTATTTTTTAGGAAGATTTAATTATATGGAAACTTCAAGAGTATTGAATTTTAGGAAAAATTCAGTTTTCTGATCTGGTTTAACTTCCTTATTGGTTTAGGAAAAATTCAGTTTCTTAATATGATTTAACTTCTTTATTGGTTTAGGGAAAGTTAAATTTCCTGATCTAATTTAACTTCCTTATTGGTTTTGGATTTTACAAAAGGCAAGTTCTTGTTGGACAAGTTTGGGATTCTATAAATACCAACTCTGATTAGATTTTAGAGTGTATGAAAATTAGAGAAAAATTTGTGCCAATATAAGAGAGAGCAATTGAGAGAGATTGAGAGAGAATTCTCCTTGTAATTCTTCATCTTTTTTATAGTGAATTTATTCGGTGTGCTCCATGGATGTAGTCCTAAGATTTGGGTGAACCATGTATATCTTGTGTTCTTGTGTATGATTATTTTTTCTTTGTGATTGCTTAATTATTCCTCGAACAGTGTGCGTTGTTATTTTGTGTTTCCGCCACAACAACTGGAAAAAAATTCGGTTGATTATGTAGTGCGACTCCAACAATTGGTATCAGAGACTTGGTTAAGAACCTAGGGCACAGAAGGTGTTTGATGAAATTTTGAAAGTTTTTTGATCAGATCTGTCTGTTCCAGTGGGAGTAATGGCATTAGAAGATAAGGCATCCACATTTACGATTGAGAAATTTGATGGTACAAACTTCAGTTTCTGGAAGATGCAAATTGAAGACCTCTTGTTTTAGGAAAATTTGTATCAACCATTGGGAGAGAAGCCAGAGGGTACAAAGGATGTAAATTGGGAATTACTTGATATGAAGGCTCTTGGCACCGTTAGATTGACGTTGTCAAAATCAGTCGCCTTTAACATCAAGAACGAGAAGATGACGATGTCTCTCATGGCAGCCCTTTCTAGTATGTATGAACAGCCTTCTGCAGCGAACAAGGTGCACTTGATTAAGAAGTTATTCAACATGAAGATGGTTGAAGGTGGTAAATTCAATGAACATCTAAATGCATTCAACGAGATAGTTGGGTAATTAGAGTCTGTTGATATCGACTTCAAAGATGAGGTCCGAGCACTGCTAATTCTAGGGCAGTTACCCGAGAGTTAGAGTGACACAGTTACAACGATCAGTAGCTCTGTAGAGAAGACCAAGTTGAAGTTTGATGAAGTTGTGAGAATGATTTTGACTGAAGAAATCAGAAGGCAAACAGCAGGGGTTTCCACCAGTGGTTCGGCATTGAATGTTGAAAGCAGAGGCAAGGGTTCAAATAAGAAGAAGGGCAACGGTAATAGAAACAAAGGCAGATCCAAGTCAAGGGATAAAAGGACACAGTCTCAAAATTTCAGGAATTCCACATATCTTAGTGATGTTGAGTGTTGGAATTGTGGAAAGAAAGGACATTATCGTGTTCATTGCAGACTTCCAAAGAAGGGAACCGTAAGAAAAACTGAAGTAAACGTGGTCTCAGAAGAATCAGATGATGCATTGATATGCTCTTTGGAGAGCAAGGCGGAGTCATGGGTTTTAGATTCCGGCGCATCGTTTCATGGCACCTTAAGAAAAGAGCTATTTAATAGCTATGAACCGGGTAACCTAGGCAAGGTGTATCTTGGTGATCATCAGCCTTATAGCGTCGTTGGCAAGGGTGAAGTGCAAATTAAGTTGAATAGGTCAACTTGGACTTTGAAGGATGTGAGACACATCCCTGACTTAAGGAAGAATCTGATTTCGGTGGGACAATTGTCAGAGGAATGTTTTGTTACAACCTTCAATGGAGACTCGTGGAAAGTTTCCAGAGGTGCTATGACCATTACACGTGGTAAGAAATCTGGCAGTCTCTACACAACTACCAGGGCTTGTGGGTCTATAGTAGTTGCAAAAAATAGAGAAGATCACAACCTTTGGCACCAAAGACTAGGTCACATGAGTGAAAGGGGGCTCAAGATTATGCCCTCAAAGCGGAAACTACTGATCGGTTGGTCAATTAACATCAACCTTCGTAATAGCACGAATCATTGTAAAATAGGGCTATTGGTCGGGTAAGTCGAACCACTGGGACTGCGCTAGTCTTACGGCAACCTTAGTGTCTAGAATCTTTCTAGAATGATGAAGGGTTTATAAAGGTTTTGTTGTTTGTCACTTAAGCTAAGAATATTGAAATTGCATAAATTAGAAACTTGCAAGAATTAAAAAGAAATGAAATACAAGTAGAGAAAAACTAGGGAAATGAATCCGCTCCAACCCTATACAAATTCTAGATTGAGATTAAATTGGGAAAATCAACATAAATGATGGTCATGACACATAACAACCCTTGGTTGCTATACTATCCTCAAGAGGTTCATTAAATCAAAAACAAGAATAATCCATCAAAGATTCACATGCTTGAACTACCTAAACTAGGGTGTAGTCTTCAACATGCTCCCTAAGCCAAAGATTATCAAACCCTTAATTAAATGATGAGAGCACACAAAGTTAAGAATCAAGTATAAACCATCAAAGCAATGATTTATCAAAGTTCTCAAACTCCATGCCATTAAAACCATTCTATGATCTAACTTCCATTTTCACTATGGAAATGCAAGCAATA